TCGCTCTCTTCCTATTTTTGTGGAGGTCGGGTAGAGTGCTTCCTTAAGCTCACAGAGTGTTACACAGAAGAACTGTGAACAGTCGTCACTAGTACTTGTGGTGGCAGCTACGAGGACTCTCCTTAGTATGTACACATGAACAGAGAGATTTCTGAAGAGGATTTTATGTTGTCCGCTGAATATATTCAGGAATTCTTGATAATATCGCAGACAGAAAAAACTGTTGTTAAAAAATAGTGTACTATTATTGTTCTAAGACTTCTTCCAGCAGAATAGGTCATGAGATAGATAGATAGATAGACGTGGTTGATTATGGTGAAAGTTATGCATTTTATAACCGTTGTATTGTTAGTGATGTTACTTTCCTTCAGAGGCAACAGACAAGTCACCCCACAACAGCAGCAGCAACAACAGCAGTAGCAGCAATAGTAGCAACAACAGCAGCAGCAACAACAGCAGCAACAACAACAGCAGCATCAGCAACAACAGCAGCAACAGCAATAAACAGTGAGCCATGACAGGCGATGCAAGAGTTGCTGTGTGTGGGAAGGTAATGCAGAACACAGTGTCAAGAGAGACGCCCGCCCATGCCGCCCACACCCCCGCCCATGCCACCCACGCGCATACCGCCCACACGGGACCCACCACTGCTAAGTTCTGGTCCTGTATAAGTCTCGGCCCGGAGACCATTAGCCGTGATGCATTGTTACGCAAAAGGCCATCCAGGGATAGTTTAGCAATGGCTCGGGGAGAACCCGGGAAAGAAATGGGTGTGGAGCAGACTACTGAGGTCTGCAGACCGTCGCCAGCAGTGTCTGCAGCTACTAGGCCCAACAGAATCACAAGAAGGGGTACTGGCAATAGTTGTAGTGGTGGTAGTGGAGCAATCAGTCCCATACAACACTTCCCATCCTCCAGACACGCAACCAACAGCAACAGCAGCACCAGAGGAAACAACAACATCAGCAGTACTACCAGCTCGCGTACTTCCCTGTGGGAGCAGCTGTGTAGTTCTCCAACCCAGACGCAAGTGTATCTGGTCCTGGCCGTCACCTCCGTGCTGGTGTACGTCAACGGCGTGACGGGAGACTACGTGCATGACGACCTCAGCGCCGTACTCAAGAACCCAGACGTGCAGGGCACGAGGCCACTGTGGCACCTATTCTTGAACGACTTCTGGGGCAAGCCCATGTCTGATCCGGCCTCTCACAAGTCTTACAGACCTCTCACCATCCTTACCTTCAGGTGGGTCACCATTACTTATTAACGTGATAAGCTAGTTGTCATTCTCGCCATATTGCTCTCATATTTGCCCCGTCACAATGCTTTGTGGAATCAATAAGTGCCACAAAAACCTTCACTTCCTTGTATATATAGCACTTCCGCTCTTAAATTTAGTTAACTGGACATATATACAACGTTATTAATATTTAGGTCACATTTCGCTCGCTAGAAACTTTATCAAGGCTTGATGAAGCTCCTGGTGTGCGAAACATAGCATAAATGTCTATTCAGAATGATATTCATATATCCTACTAAACTGTATAATCATTTTATTTCAAAAATCTATTTACGTCATCATTCCACCAATAATTCCTTTTTCCTCGGTCACCCACTCATTCTCTAACCACAATATTACATCCACACAAAACTTCTTATACATCATCCTTGTCACTTTCTCTCATCCTGATTAAGATTTTTCCAACAAATATTTATATATCTCTCTTTTATATTACTTTGTTTTACTTCATCCACTTTCTCTACATTTTTAATTACAGATACAATTCATCTTCTCGTAGTTTACCTTCCTCTTAATCTTACTTTTCCTATTCCTCCTCTACTCTTACTAAGCATTTATGAGATATATCACATACTTCCTAAATCCAGCAACTCAAGCTTTTATATTCTAGAATTGTATGGCAAATTTTCCCTAATATATATATATTATATAATATATATATATATATATATATATATATATATAATATATATTATATATATATATAATATATATATATATTATATATATATATATATATATAATATTATATATATATATAATATTTTATATGAATGTGTGTGTATGTGTTTCTTAATGTAAAACCACGTATAATTCAATTAAAAGTTACCATTGACACTAACATCATACACCCTGAACATCCCAGGTGCTGCACTTCCTACCACTTGTCTCTCACACTTCTCGCATCACAAGAATTTACTCTCTTAATTCTCCAACAATTCCATCAACATTGACGCAGTTCATCCCACAATTTCACTCAAACTATCACGAATAAACTGTGTTTCTCATTCTATTTCACTCGCAATTACATAATATTGTAACAAATTATATTTTAATCCTTTTTATTCCACAGTTGTTCGTTCAGCAGCGTCGCCAAGCGCTCTTTACCTCTCTAATGCTTTAGAATCAGATCAATCCTGCATACCCATTATTATATCTATGACTCCTACGGGAATCATACTGACCCCCGTAGGAGTCAGAGTAGAACTCATACTGAGCCTGGGCAATGAGACATGCGGGTTCGATCGAAGAAAGGAGGGGACAAATTTCTTGGATCATGAACACATCACCATTATCTAGGAACCTCCTTTGAGGATGCTTTTCCTCAGCTTCTCCTCAGTGACTATCAATACTGAAGTCACTGAGGCAAGCAGCTGATCCAGGCTTTATTGTGACAGCGTTTCGCTCGATTTAGAACTTGATAAGGGCCTCCCAAGAGCGAAACATTGTCCTGGTCAACACTTGTTGTGCTATTTTTAAGCACTTGTTTACCCAGCTTTAAAACAGGTGTCTACCAGTGCCCGGACATCCGGTCTCCTCTGCATCACAACTCCCTCAGTACTTATTTCCTTGATATTCTTATTCTGCCCAGTTCGTCGCTGTTCTGTATAGCTCTACGCAGTTTTGTACAGCTCTATGGAATTCTACACGCTCTAAAATGTTCTATACAGCTCTACCCAGCTCAAACAACTACAGAAACATCTAATTATCGTTCTATAACAAAACCTGCACATATATTTAGCACCTTTACTATCCCCCTCAGGGATTCCATCACCTGTGTTTCATGGTCTCCCTGGCTGGTCCTGGTGTAGGAGTAACACTATAAAAGGGTTGCCAACAACATAACCTGGCTTACACTAAACCACAGAAGCCAATAGTCATTTATTTCGGCTATGTATTGCTTCCTTTCGGTAAGTACCCCTCCCGTACCCTGCCCCCCAGCCGCTGCCCCCTCCCCCCAGCTTCAGCACCTCCCCCCAGCCTCAGCACCTCCCCCCAGCCTCACCCACCCCCCCCAGCCGCTGCCCCTCCCCTACCCTGCACAGTATTGTGGAAAATTAATAAATCGAACATAATCAAATAATAGGTATTTATATTATAATTAGTATACTGCTGCTACTGTTGGTAATACTGCTACTACTGTTACCTCTACTACTGCTACTACTGTTACCTCTACTACTGCTACTACTGTTACCTCTACTACTGCTACTACTGTTACCTCTACTACTGCTACTACTGTTACCTCTACTACTGCTACTACTGTTACCTCCTACTACTGCTACTACTGTTACCTCTACACTACTGCTACTACTGTTACCTCTACTACTGCTACTACTGTTACCTCTACTACTGCTACATATATTACCTCTACACTGCTACTACTATTACCTCACTACTGCTACTACTATTACCTCTACTACTGCTACTACTGTTTACCCTACTATCTCACCTACTGTTACTCTACATCAGGCTAGTACCTCTACTTACTGCTACTACTATTACCTCTACTACTGCTACTACTTTACCTCTACTGACTGCACTATGTACCTCTACTTACTCTACATCGTACCTCTACTACTGCTCTACTGTTACCTCTCTACTTCTACTACTGTTCCCTCTACTACTGCTACTTCTTTACCCCTACTGCACTACATTACCTCTTGCCATTAGCTACTACTATTACCTCTCTTACGCTACTCTTTACCTCTACTACTGCTACTCCGACCTTTATACTCTACCCTTACCTCTACTCCTGCTACTACGTACCTCTACGTACTGCTACTATTAACCTCTACTACTGCTACTACTGTTACCTCACTACTGCTACTACTGTTACCTCTACTACTGCTACCTACTGTTACCTTACACTTACTACTACACATTGAAAAATAACACCTACACATATCCATGCACAAAAAAGGCAAGAATTCAGCTGGCTTTTGAGAGTCCTCGACTGAATAACTAAATAAAACCAGGATCTAAATTACCCTTGCTGAAGAAGCATGATATTCTCTCTCTGTTCTCTCTCTCTCTCCTTCTTCTTCTCCTTGCTCTCTCACATCCTTTCTTCTTTTTCCTTTCCCCTAATTCTAATCATGTGCCTTACTTCCTCCCTTCACTTAACTATTCATTCTCTCCTTCTTTGCATCCATTTTACTACCCTCCCTCCATCCACTTACCATATATCTTTTTCCTCCTCCATCTTACTCATCTCCACCTCCTTCCATCTTCCATCTCTCCCTCCCTCCCTCCATCTCCATCTCTAAACTCTCCATTCCTGCGGGGACTTGGCTGGGTTTATAACTTAGATAATGTAACAGAGTAGTAGCGACCGGATCTCATTTAATTTACAATCACCCGTCGAGAGGAGCGACTTGACGCCTTCCTCGCTGAAAGAACCAGAAATTGGGGGACCAGAGAGGCGGTTGTTGAATCTCTTCTCTCTCTCTCTCCTCGTCATCTCTCTGACTCTCCGTCTCTCTCCTTTCTCTTGCATCTGTTCCTCTCTCTACTCTCTCTCCTCCTTCTCTCCTCTCTCTCTCCCTTCTCTCTCCTCTCAACATCACAACCTCTTGTCTCTCTGTACTTTTCACGACTGGCACAAGATAGAGATGAGGTTCTGGCACTGGTGTTCACCTGTCGCTTCATAAGTCTTCAGGAACTGTGAAATAACTCAGGACCAAAAGTCGTTTAAAAAAGTTTTGCCAAATTATAAACTTGTGAACTGATGGACCATTGTATTGTGGTTTCTCAATTCTCTTGTACGTTTTTTGCTTATAAACATACAACATTTAAAAATTTTTTAATGTAATATGTATTTAAAAATATATAATAATAATATAATATATATTATAATATATATAAATATTATATATATAAAAAAATAATATTATATAGTTATATATAATAATATATTATATATATAAAAATATATATATAATATAAATATATATATATAAATATATATATATATAAAGGGATAAGTAGGCCTTTCGCAGTGAGTGCCAGTAGGCACAGAGCTGGTGCTTGTGCTCTCGTGGTGAGATTATTTAGACCTAAGCTGGAGTGGATTCGTTGTTTATCACAATGTAAATTGAGTCGCTGGGAGGGTTCATTGTTCTCCTGGCTTCCGTCTCTTCCTTTGATCGTTGGAGATGCTTTGTTGTGATTCTGGAAAAAAAATGGGAAAAAAACTTCCATGATAGAGCTGGACTGAGTCACAGTCGGAGCTGAAGCTTTGTTGGACATGCGTGTCCATGTTGCCTTGCGTCAGTGTGTGTGTGTTAGCGTGTTTATTTTCTTGTGTTATCGTTTCTCCCCGTGTTAGAGTGTGTTTCTCCCTGTGTTAGAGTGTTTCTTCCCTGTCTTAGAGAGTGTTTCTTCCTGTCTTAGAGAGTGTTTCTCCCTGTGTTAGAAAGTGTTTCTCCCTGTGTTAGAGAGTGTTTCTCCCTGTCTTAGAGAGTGTTTCTTCCTGTGTTAGAGAGTGTTTCTCCCTGTGTTAGAGAGTGTTTCTCCCTGTGTTAGAGCGTCTTTCTCCCTGTATTAGAGTGTTTCTCGCTGTGTTACTATATATTTCAACAGGTTCTTGTGTGGTTTATTGTCGTGTGTTTAATCGTGTTATGTGGTGTTAGGCGGTGCTAGATTATGTTAGGCTGTGATAGGTAATTGTATATGGTATTAGGTCGAGGTAAGGTGGCGTTAGATCGTACTATGTCCTGTTTAGTGGTGTTAAATCGTTTTAGAAAGTTTTATATCGTGTTAATTTGCATTACATGATCCTATATAGTGTTAGATCGTATATGGAGGTGTTACATAGTATTAGGTGGTGTTTGATCCTCTGGTAAAGCTTTTCACCAATTCATTGTGACTTGCAAAGCGAAATCGTTATAATTTTAATTCTATTCACCCATTAATAGCAAGAGTGTTGCCAGATAGTCTCCTATCATTGATGGGAATGATGACACTTATTGAGCAACGTTATTGGTCTTCGTTATTCTCTGGAAAGTGAATGTTGTATTGTACTCGTTCACAACTGGTAAGATGAGTGTTTAATGGTCTAGTTTTGATCTAGTGAAAATGAATGTTCTCGCGTGAATGTTATGCAGTTCCAGTCTTCCTAAATGAACGATATCTCGTTTCTCACCTTCGAAAGTGAATGTTATTTTGTTCCCATCTCCCAGAAAAGGTTGTTGTGTGTCGTTCCCATAGTCTAAAGTGTCTGTTGACACAGTTCGTTCGTATCCCCTCAAACAAATACTATCACCTTCCCATCTTCCCATAACGACTATTATTGTGTGCTCGTTCCCAAACCCCTAAAATAAAAGTAATCTTGATCCCATCTCCCAAAACGAACGTCTTTCAAGCCTCGTTCCATTCGTATTCCTCTCGTTGATTTATTTTCTTAGCTCCACCAAGATTAGTTTGTCCTCTTCAAATATGCCAAAACAGAGGACAAACGTCCTTGATGGCGCCAGGACTCAGAGGACACCCAATTTCTGAAACGTAACATGTGGTTTGACGTTTCCTTTGATAAGGCAGCGGCTTCAATTGTGGAAATTCCTGGGCTTTACCCTGTTTTTTCTCGAATCAAAGGAGAGGTCTTATAGTCGCTAATGTAACCCCCGAGGGAGGGGCAAGAATGACGTTAGTGGAGAATTCTTGCCCTCCCTCTGGAGACAAGAATGACGTTAGTGGAGAGTTCTTGCCCTCCCTCTGGAGGCAAGAATAACATTGCTGGAGAGTTCTTGCCCTCCCTCTGGAGGCAAGAATGACGTTAGTGGAGAGTTCTTGCCCTCCCTCTGGAGGCAAGAATAACATTGCTGGAGAGTTCTTGCCCTCCCTCTGGAGGCAAGAATAACATTACTGGAGAGTTCTTGCCCTCCGTCTGGAGGCAAGAATAACATTACTGGAGAGTTCTTGCCCTCCTCTGGAGGCAAGAATAACATTACTGGAGAGTTCTTGCCCTCCTCTGGAGGCAAGAATAACATTACTGGAGAGTTCTTGCCCTCCGTCTGGAGGCAAGAATAACATTACTGGAGAGTTCTTGCCCTCCGTCTGGAGGCAAGAATAACATTACTGGAGAGTTCTTGCCCTCCCTCTGGAGGCAAGAATAACATTACTGGAGAGTTCTTGCCCTCCCTCTGGAGGCAAGAATAACATTACTGGAGAGTTCTTGCCCTCCCTCTGGAGGCAAGAATAAC